AGTGAGTCCTTCTTGATTCAGGGTGCTGGTGAAATAATGAGGCTTCCCTGTCAGGATTGTCAGAATGCCTGCCCTTTCTGTCTGGTGGAGTACTCCTGCTGATCCTTTTTCTGGCGAGAAGCCTTATTTATAATATGGCGGATGGATGATAACTATTCGGATAGGAAAAGAGTGGTACCAACTAGTAGATTCCTGGTCAGATCAGCCTCATAATAGTAAACCAGAAAATGTGATTGGAATATCAGAGAGCACAGTTCAGCATCCCTCTTCTTGATTGGTTGAGGATTTTTTTAACCTCTATATGGGTCAGGTGTCAGAAAGGCCCTAGAGCTAAAGCAGCAGTTCTGAATCAGGGGTGACTTTGACCCCTCATCAACCCCAAGAGAACACTCATAAGTATCTGGAGGAGCTTTTTCTTATCTTGTGGGAAGTGGTCAAGTATACTGCTGAACATCCTGGAAAGTATGAGCCCACCCCCACAAAGGAAAATCATCCAGTCTTAAATGTCAATAGTGCTGAGGTTGAGAAACCTGGAGCTAAAAGAATAAGACTCAGTTCTTCTGCTCTGTATAAATTTACTCTGCGCATTGTGGCATTTCTTGTCATCTGAAATGTGTCCTAGTGAAAATGTCTACATTGAAGAGAAAAATCAAGGTCTTTATTTGAAGTGACCATTAAAAAAATATGATGATATTGGTTACACTAAGGAGGCATTATATTCTTTTTTATATTTTATTCATTATTTTTATGTGCATGAATGTATTGCCTGCATATATGTAAATGCACCCATGTTGTACATTGCCCGCAGAGGTCATAAGAGAGCATCAGAGCCCAGGATCTGGAGTTAAGGGTGGTTGTTAGCTGCCATGTAGGTGCTGGGAATCAAACCAGGGTCTTCTGCAAAAGCAGTCAGTGCTCTTAACCGCTGAGATATCTCTCCAGTCCCAGGACGCATTACATTCTTATTCATTGCCTGGTCTAGCACATCTTAGATTTTTAAAGATTTTTAGCAGAAGAGAGACTGTTTCCAGGTGACCATAACCATCTTTGTCAGTAGAAAGAGCCTGGTTTTTATCTGCATGTACATAAAGAATAGAATTGGGTAAGAAATAGTCTGCAAGTTGAATTAATATGGTAATCCTCAACAGTTCATCTCTTTTAACTTGGATTTGCTCATAATCTTAGTGATGCATAACTAATCTCACTTGACTTAGAAACCCCCTGGTCTATAACAATAGCAGGTGGAATATTTGTAATGTTTGGGAATTAATTCTTTGAAGCACTCACAGGATGGACTCGGTATCAAATCAACCAATATGTTAATTAACTAAATGATGGCTATATTAGGATAGTACCCTAAGGGCCTCCAATACACTGTGTTTTGTCTAACTGCTGTGGGAGGTCAGTTATTTGACCTGATGGAAGTGTTGTAGAAAACTGCCTTTTTCATTTAATGAGGAGTAAAGTCTGCCAGAATGACCTCTAGCGCTTTTTTCCCTACTGTTAAAGTTTTCAGCTTAGCAGCTTTTAAGTGTGGCTTTTAGAGGCTTGGCATCTCCATCCTTTAGCTTGAAGTCTCCCCTTAACTATTGTGCCAAGTGCTCTGGGCGTTCCAGTTAACTGGAATGGTCTTCAGAATAATTGAAAAAAGAATCTGTAATTCAGAATCGTCACTAATTCATACTGGTTTTTGCCCCCAAAGAGTCCAAATTCCTGTGGGCTCATTGGTTTTCAGGCCCAATATTTAAGAATATCCTGAAGTACATATTTCTGAGTTGTTGACGCTTAAAAACTGAAAGCAGAAAACTCCTCTGAGCCTCAATTTCCTCCCTTATAAAATGGAATCTAAATCCTTTCCTGCTGTTTTATTAATTATGCTATTTATGAAGATAATGAGGATATTAACATATTTTCTCAGTAGTTCTCTCACTCCTTCCTCCCTCTCACCCTCCCTTTCTTTCCTTCTCTCTCTTTGGAGTTTTCACCACTGCAGACTTGTATTTTCACACTCAAAGTGTGATAGTCTTGCTTTTAAACCCTAACACACCTGTGACCACACTTTAGAATTTTCTACTCATTGGCAAGGCTTCCTTGGGTAGGATAATAAGTATATCTTCTTGGAATCTTAACTTCCCTTCTTTAGATCAACTGGGTTTTAATCTACCCCAAAATATATACCTTCATGACTTATTTCCATTTTCTTTATCATTTCTGAACTGAAGCCAGCTGAAGCCATCTTGACAAGTCTTACCAAGTATCAACATTCCTGAGGAATAATATTTCTAAAAAAGGTCCAACAGCTGAAAGGTTGATCTTTTGACTAGCTGGCCCAAAATATTTGTGAGAAGAGGTGGAAAATGAAGCCAGTGAAGAAGGCTGCTAGACATCTTTCATGGCTGGAACCTGAAAGGTTTCCTGGAGACAGTTGTGAGTAGTGCAGAGATAACAGTAACCATACTGCTGAATCGAGCAGAGGAGAAAAATGATGGGACCGGAGAGTTTGCCAGTGACCCACTTGGTGAGCCCTGTGGGGATCATATGCTTTAGACCAGGGACCACAGTTCCAGGCTGCTAGCCCTGAAGGTTGATAGGAACACCTGAAAACTTCTGACTTGGAAAGGTACATTGAATTAAATCAATAGGTTTACCCTCACCACAGCAATGGGTCCTTTTTCTTTCTCCTGATCCTTTGGCCAACATGTAGCAAAATGAATTGGATTCCAGTTTCCATCAAAGGCAGGGAAGAGGAGAAGGCCAAGGGTGTTCTTGTGTCAGTAATACAGCACAATAAATACTGTGTGCAACCTTCATAGTTCTCAGTGGGTAAATCTCCCAATGCTACCACAAAGCACCCATAACAATACACTCTTACCCTAACCTAGGCAACTTACCTTCAGGTTTCAGCCATGAAAGATGTCTAGCAGCTTTTCCCACTGGCATTCAGGGATGAATGACCATACATAGGTATGGCTATTGTTGAGGGAAACCTGTTCCAGAAATCCATCCAGGGCTCTCATTGCCTCAGTGTCTAGAATTGACTAGGGAGCTAACCGTCCTCACCAAATCAGACCTTCCATCTGAAGACAAAAGGCCATCTTCCTTACAACAAAGAAATTTGTGATTTGGGGTTTCTAAGGTAATTGTATGCTACACATGCCTTTCTTTCCACTTGTGTGTCTATCCCCTTAAGCACTTGCTTCTAAGGGCAGATTGCAAGCTTTGTTCCTTAATCCAGATAAAAAGACCAAATCTGTTGTAAAGACATGGGCCCTCCTGGCTGGGATAGAAAGGCAATGTCGTGCTGTGTGGCAACAGAAACTACCACAAGCCTAGGAAGAAACAACAGCAGGCAAATGGGAAAAACTAGTCCCTAGGCGTACTTCTGTTTGATTTGAAACTAGAATGCACATTGCTATTAGGAAACATGGCCAGAAATCCACAGTTGAAAGAGAAACGGGAAAAGACTGTAACAAGCAGAGGCTAAAAGATGGTGTCTGGCTGGCTTATGCTGTAGATTGAGACTGACTGTTTAGCCAGTTGAGAAACAGTTATTTGGTCATACTTTGAAAAAGAAATGTTAACAACACAACAAAAAGGCAAGAAAGAAAAAAAAATAATCTACTCTGGCTGTATGATACAGGACCAGCTAAAACTGTAACCCTATCCACAGAGGGACTGGTAATAAAAGAACAGTCTTGCAAGTGCTTTTCCTCCTGTTCATGTTCACAGTAACAGCTGGATACATACTAATTGCAAGAAGTGAAAGGAAGAGCTTTAAGTTTAAAAGCAGGCATGCTCTAATCAGTCTCTCACCAACATAGTTTCAGGCACAAGTGTGATGTGCCACCTAGCAGGTCTATTTTAAACCCAAGCTCACAGCTCCTCATTTGTGTGGGTGGCTTTACGTTGTCAAGGAAGAGCAACACACTGTTCTCGCCTTCCAAGTGCCTCACTTCCATCCATCAAGAAACAGCTTAATCAGGCCTTCTCAGCGTCAGCACTGTTGACATTGTAGTTTGGGTCATTCTTCGTTGGGGGTCCCTACACCTTGCTCTTCATAAGGTAGTTAGCAGTAGCAGTGTCCCTGGTCTACCTCCTAGATGACAGTAGAAACCCCCTCCCCCAGTGGTGACAGCTCATATCATCTCTAGGCATTGCCAGACATTGCTAGATGTCCCCTGCTGGGAGACACAGTCACCCCCAAATCGCCCTCATTTGAGAACTACTGGGTTAATTCAGTAAAGCGTAGCTTTCTCTTCCTTTCCCACCTTCACCCCTGAAGATCTCTCTCTGAGGCTAGGAAAATTTTTCATCTAAATTCATCCGGAACCAATTTCCCTCTGATTCTGAGTTGCCTGCAACAATACTTCTGACTTGCAGGATTTTGGTCACTGAGAATAATGTTCTTATTCCCTTGGTAAAAGGCAGTCATTTCCAGCTAAACTCTAGGGTGGTGATGGTGGTGATAGGGAACAAGGTTCTTTTGTTTTATTTTGAGATAGAGTCTTGCTATATAGCCCAGGCTGGCCTTAAACTTACAACCCTCTTGCCTCAGCCTCCAGAGTAGAAGAATGGATTACAGCTATGGTCCACCATGCCAAGCCAAATGTACTTGTGTTTATTCTTCTAGAGCTGTTTTAGCATCTAGGTAGTCCAGTCATAAAATTCAACACACTCAAGAACTGTGTGAACTGGAAGAGGCCTTGAGTACTTAAAAACTCACCTCCCTGCCCCCTCCTTGTTCCTTTACCACATTTTTACAAATTTTAAAAAAGCAAAACCCCAAGGCCTAGAGGGAAAAGCAACTTGCTGGAGGCCAATACATATGCCTAATCCTCCTTCTCTGAGGCACAGGGCAATATTTTCCAACATGTCTAAAGACCTCATGTCTCCAAAGAGCAATAAATTACAGCTCTTTACAAGGAAGAGTTTGGGCTAGCCATGCCAGTTAAGAAATGTAAATTTTACAAATAACAGAATACTGTAACCAATTAGTGCAAACAAACATTTATTGTGAAATATTCATCCTACCCTTTATTAGGTATTACATCATCAAAGCACTTTGTGGCAATGAAAATAGCTTTTTTACCCCTCTGATTCACCCAATATTCCATTAAAGCTGCAAAAAATGTGCAATCTGCTTGAAAAATAGGTTGCTCTTATTTACTCATTTGTGAAAAGTCAAAAATTAAAAAAGAAAATGGTACTAGCTTACAGGGCCTCTAGAGCCAATTTGCCTTTCTGTTTCCTACTACGCCCCAAAACAATTAACAAAGATAATTTGTTTTAAATGCCTTTTTAAAAAAACCAATGCACCTTTCCCCATGTTATAATCATAAAAAATTTTAAGGCCCTTATTTACTTTCTTGGAAAAAAGGTAGCCAGCCGTTGTTTTTTGATCGGGAGCATATGTATTTCCTGGGAGTTCACTTTCTTTAGCTTTATGCTCCTGTTTTTGATGGGTTTCCTAAGGGGCTCAGTATTTCCCATGGATTCTTCTCCTTGACTGTTGATGTCATAGCCCTGAAGCACAGAGTCTTCTCTTTTGAAGGAGAAGTTTTTGGTGGACACCCCTGAGAGGCCTTTGATCTTGCCACAGAAGATGGTAGGCACCGCGTCTTCAACTGAGACGATGACCTTGGCCGCCTGGGACTCACTTACAATCTCAATGTTATTTTCAGCCTTGACTTCGCTACTGGGATGGTTGGGATGACAGACCATCTCAGTGCCGTTGCTGCCGCTGATGTGGCTATCCATCATGATTGAGGCCTCATGAGGTGTGGCAGGGACGAAGGGCATTTCCATGCCATTAGGATGTTGCTCCATCACAGTGTGACCTAGACTGTCTGCTGACCCACTGCTGTCATACATTGTCTCAGGGGGAGCCTCAGACTTCCGGTGGGCTGCCACAGACAGGTCTAGTGCTGCATCTTCTTGGAAGATTGGGGAGCTGGTTTCACCAGCCTTGATCCAGGGCACTGACTTCATGGAGAGATCCAGGGCCTCATTCTCGCTCCCCATCTTGATGACTGTGTGACGGCTAAGCTGGAAATACTCCTTTGGCTGGAGGATGTCTAAGGGCTTCAGTTCATCCTTTTCTAGAGGGGTCTGGGTACCTTTAAAGGAGTGCAGGCTGAAGGAAGATGGCGGCTTGGGGAAACTGGGACTGAATTTGGATTCAGAACTCTGAGGCACTGGGATAGGAATGGGAATGGGGACTGGCACTGGCAAGGGAACAATCACGGGGTAGGGCACCAAGAGGGTAGCTGGTGGGACCAGGGGAGACAAGGGGGAGTTAAAGGGCTGGGGAGGCACTGGGGCATAGCCAGGAGGGGGCTGACAAGGTGGAGGGCCCAGAGAGCCCTGGGAGGGGAATAAATTCTGGAGCACAGCTTCAAATGGCAGTGAAGGCTCCTGTGGCTGGCTGGGGATTCTCAGGTCCAAGAGCTGAGGCTGAGCCTCAGGGTCCTCGGCCCCCTGGAAGAGGTTGTTGTGGATAGCATTGGAGGAGCATGGGGCCTCCTGTGGCAGAACCAGAGGGGAGTTGAGGTGCTGGAAAACATGCTGCTCCAACACTACTGGCAGCTGCACGGGGCCCTGTGTGGTCATGACGTAGGTGGCATTGCTGTTGGGGTTGAGCTCCGGTGCAGAGCTTCCCTCCACCTGCATGTGAATGGGCATCACCACTGGGCTTTCCCCGAGGCACAACGGCTGCAGCATAGTGGCTGCTACCTTCAGAGCCATGCCGCTCTGGGGCTCAGCTGGGGGGTTCAGAATGGATGGGGCCGGCACAGTCACCAGGGCCTTCTTTACCAGGTCAGTGGAGTTGATATTCCAGGCCTCAGTGGTGATCAGTTGGGCCATGCCGTTCTCCAGTCTGTTATTGGCCAAGGCAGGAGGGGAGTCAGTCATGTCCATGGAGAGGTTCTGAGACTGCAGGTCATCCATCACTTGGCTCTGATGCCACTTGGCCTGCAACACAGAACACACAATATGAATCTTTCTTAAGAGGCTATTTATGATTGCCTTAGGAGATCTCTCCAGTCTTTAAACAGTTTCCATAGCTTAGTTAATTGGGGCGCACAACCCAGCTCCCTATGTATACACTCGCATTATAGATATTTCTTAATATACACGAACACACCCACATGATCAGCTGTGCTTGGAGAGACCCAATCAACAGGCAATCGAGCTATAAACACAGATGATGTAATCTCTAAATAACCAAGTGATATTAAACAGGGTATTTTTAAGCCTAATGCTCAGCTTATATCTTTGGCCTTCAACAAAAACAAAGTTTCATTCCACATTGCTCTGTCAGACAGTTAAGATATGCAGAGATTTGAACTTGCTCAAAATTTAAAAAGCAATAGGCTAACTTTCCCTTAAGGAAAAATAAAACCTTGTCACATTTGAATAGCTTATGAATATGGAATGGGACATTAAAAACTCTTTGTAGGAATAATTACGGAATTATTTGAAAATTGTGGGAAATTTCAGAAAGCATTTCAAAAACTCTGTAGCAATAATTCTTCCAAAAGAGGCTTGGTGACTGGAAGAGCAGTATGTTTACACAAGACTCACTATGGTTGTCCCTCTATCCAATCACATCCCCTTTTCTCCTGATAACAGGAAGCCCTGTTCTTCAGAACAAAATGAAGATGGAATGCTTGCATGAATGCTCATAGGGCCCATCAGGATCATCTGTCAGTCTGTCTGACCTGTGGCCTCTCTAGACATCTAGGTGTCAAGAGGAAGAGATGTTGATGGATCTAGGGCTGGGGGAAATGGAATACTTGCTTGAAACAAAAATACTCAAAGGTAAGAAACATATTCTTGATGTCTGAGGCAACTCCTGAAGACTACCAGCCACCTCCTGGGAGGCCAAAGGAGTCCAGTGTGTGTGCTTCCTGGAGGAAGCAGGACTGTAGCTGCAGTTGGCTCTCCATGGAAACGCGTCCATATTTAGCCTGGTTACCATGGAAAAGGCAGGCACCATGTCTAACTCGGGGATCTGTGCAGCTCTGGTGTCTGGTTGGGCTCAATAATAATTCAATAATACTCATTCACTGGATAAGCCTGGAGTAAAACAGATTCTTGACCTTACCTGCCTCACCTACATAGACTTCAGTCCTGTGATCATTTTGTTCTCCTCTCCTCATCCTTAAAGTGACAACATAACCTCTCATGCAAGAGAGGCGGCCCTGCATGCCATGGTGTTAAAAATGAACAAATGATGTCTCATTATAGGAAGGCAGTTTGAACAAATAAACAGCTCCGTGATATTTTCAGGTAGTCAAAATGTGTCAAACATTCAGAACAAGGAGTTACGTTGAGAAAGGAGGAGGACACAAGAAAGTAAAGGATGCTTTGGAAACAAATCTGTGAAGTACAACTGATGTCTCATGCCCTTAGCAGAGCACACTGCAGTGCCTCCAAGAAAACTCTAGAGCCTGTGTCCCTATGGGTAGTGTGCTCCCTGGAAACCGCAAGTTGACCCAGCATGCTAGCAAGTAATCTTAGGACAGAGTTGGGAGACAGCCTGATATTAGAAAGGCTGAAGACTTATCCATGCTGAACAGTCTGCCTGGTTCTTTATGAAAAGAGCGGTCTTTAATTCAGCTCAGAAAATGTCATACTTCCAATGTACTGTTCATTCCCACATGCATTCATTCTTTCATTCACTCATGTAAGTCATTCATTGTATAAATGCCTACTTCATGCTGGCACTTTGCTGAGGTCTAGAGTTGAAGTCATGAGTAATGGATGAAGCTCCTACTTTCATGAAGATTATAATCTAGTGAGGCCATATGTCTTTGCTCAGACAGAGATTTGTAGTATGAGCAGACAGAAAGACATGCCAGAGGACACAGCAGCAACGCAGGAGCGGCAGCGGCAGCATAAATCTTGCACAGGCATACAGCCCCGAAGGCTCTACAAACCTATTTCCTCCACAAGGGTCCAACTTTTGGCTAGACCTCTCATGAAAGAATAAGGAAAAGAGGAAGGGAAGATTGAGTGCGACTAATAAGGACAGGGACAGTAAATGGTCAGAGAAGCCACCCTTAACCACCCATCCAAAAGCTATTCTGATGGCTTAAAGGCAACTGAGCAGAGGTTAAGACATGTTCTATGCCGTCTCTGGGCTTTCTGGGCTTTCTCATGTCTGTTTCTGTCGACCTGTCCATAAATGGTAGTCTCCCTCCCTCCCTATGTACTTCCCTTGACATCCTTCCTCTCTGTCTGCTTCCCTCCATCCTCTCCCAAGGGAGAGAGGACAACCTGCTGGATGCCTCCTTGTCCTGCTCCTTGTACACATCTTCAGCTCAGGTGTTAGTTCTCATTGTTTCCCGGGAAACCTCCTCCCCTTCTCTCACTACCTGTCCCTGATCTAGGCTTGTTATCCGTATCATAAACATCCTCATCAGAGTGTGAGGAGGGGCCCTTGCCAGGATAGGATGCCTCCTACAGACAGCAAGAGTTAGAACCACTAAACATTTGCTTTGTGCCACACTCTGTGCTGAGAACTTCTTATGCATAACTAACTGTTCAGTCCTCAAAACAACCTTTCAAAAAGACTAGGATTATGCCCATTAGGTTGCTAGGAAAGTGAATTCTTATTGACAGGAAAATTCTATGGGGAAAAATAACTAACTTAAGGGTACACTGAGACCAGAGTGAGAGCTCCAGGCCAGTCCCAGGCATCTTCCATATATTTTGTTTTCTGGCAAGAGTAGCCCCCCACAGCTTCCTCTTCAACATGGAGTACATGGTGCACCTGAGGAAGCCTGCAGGAAAGACCACTTGAGCATAGGATCTATTCATAGTGGAAGCCAGGCTTGTCATTCACTGGAGTTCCCTGCTTGAGGAGGGCAGCTTGAAGTGGCTATGGTGATGTTACCAGAGAGCTAGGGGTAGGGCATCTCTCAGCCTACTTCCAGATAGCCACCTATCTCTAGGTCACAGAGTGACAGAGAACATTCTACGTCCCCTTCTTGGGCTTCCTTGTCTCTGGGAACACGTATGACAGGTCAAATAGCATGTAGGCTGAGGCCACGTAGAGAGAATCAGTCTGCAGTATCTCATGGGGCAAAGAGACAGGAAGCCACTGGCCAAAGTTTCCTTCCCAAAGAGCTGGGCATAACAGCACTTAGCCAACGGTGGCCCGGGGGCAACTCTGATTCTGTGGAGAGCCACTGGCCTGCTAGGACAGGCTGTTTCTTTTACTCAGTTCCCACCAGGTACAGCACTATTCTCAGGGATACGTGGGCAAAGAAAATACAAGCATTTTCTATCATACAAATTTCCACATTCCCGGAATGCTCTTTTTTCTCTTCTTCTTATATCTCTTCTCATTGTTCAACCTTCCAACAGATACTCTCCTCCAGTTCTCAGCCAACAGTGGACAAGGACTTGCTAATCAAAGGTGGTGCCTTGGGTATTGTTTCTGCAGAAGCTGGTACTAGAAGCCTTAGCTATGCACTGAGAATGAAAAAGCAGTTCATGAATTGAAGATTTATAGGGTAAGTCTGTCCCTGAGGATGAGCTCAGGAGGCAGCTGATGACTATGATGAAGACAAAAGCCCATCCTCCCCACTCAGCCAAGGGTCTGATTACTGTGGGCTGGGGACCTCTTCAAATCAAGGAGCATCAGAGTAGCCACCAAGTTACGCTCAAGCAGGGAGAGCAGGATTACTTCAGAAGTGTCAGAGAACACTTTTGTGTTTGTGTTTCACAAAACATCACTTTCAAATTAAATGAGGTTACCATCCATCTGTATACGCCAATTCTCTCTCTCTCTTTCTCTCTCTCATATACACACAGAGAAAGTGAGCAACTCCAACTCTCTCATATGCAGAGAGGGAGAGAGAGAGAGCAACTCAGAGATAGATAGAGAGGAGAGAGAGAGAGAGAGAGAGAGAGAGAGAGAGAGAGAGAG